CTGTGACTCAAGTGGTAGAGCGCTAGCCTTGAGCTAAAGAGCTGAGGGACAGCGCCCAGGCCCAGAGTTCAGGCCCCATGACCGGACCCAAAAAAAAAAAAAAAGTTGAGATGCAGTTTGTGGTAGAGCATTTGCTTAGTATGCACAAGGCTCTGAATCTGATCCTCAGTGCTGAAAAAGTTACTCATTAAAAGATAGAGCTGGGCGCCAGTGGCTCATGCCTGTAATCCTAGCTACTCAGGAGGCTGAGGTCTGAGGACTGCGGTTCAAAGCCAGCCCCGGCAGGAAAGTCCATGAAACTCTTATGTCCAATAAACACTCAGAAAACCAGAAGTGGCACTGTAGCTCAAATGGTAGAGTGCTTGCCTTGAGCTGAAGAGCTGAGGGACAGTGCTCAGGCCCAGAGTTCAAGCCCCACGACCGACAAAAAAAAAAAAAGTTAGCTGTAGGGGCTGGGAATGTAGCTTAGTGGTAGAGAGCTTGCCTAGCATGCATAAGGCCCTGGGTTCAATTCCTCAGTACTACATAAACAGAAAAAGGCAGAAGTGGTGCTGTGGCTCAAGTGGTAGAGTACTAGCCTTGAGCACAGAGAGGTTCAGGGACAGTGTCCAGGCTCTGAGTTCAAGCCCCAGAACTGGCAACAACAACAACAACAAAAAGTAGTTTTATTATAAAGTTGACTGTGAAAGAAAAGGCAGTCACTGCTGCCCAGAGCAGTGTTCCTGGGCAGGAGTGGGTGACAGCCAGTGGGGAAGGGTCCTGGATAATTCTGAGCCCCGAAATACTCCTCTGCCAAATGGGGACAATGAGACCTCATCCCAAAGGGCTGTTGGAAATCAAGAGGATATTCTACAGACCAGAGTGTTACAGCACAAAGTATAGGCCTGTGTTCCTGTGTAACTAGATGGTATTGCTTAGGAAGCCCAGTGTTTTCTGCCCCTTCAGCCTAGTAAGTCTCTGTAAACTATGAGCTGCTTCCAGATAGGGCTGCTGAGCTGAGCACAAAGGGAAGCTATCTTTTGCCCAAAGCCACACAGCTGAAGAGGGCATCTGTGGGAGGGTGGTGGAGAGGGTTTATATGTTGTCCACTGCCTGTGTGGTCTCCTGACAGATGATGGGCCACATGGGGCAAAGACAAGACAGGAAGCACTTCTGCCAGCCTCTTGGTGACATTCTTTACTGGTACAGAATCAATCCTGGAAAAACTCACTAGTCACAGCTCATCCTTGTCCTGATCAGATCTCATAGCAGCCCCAACTCAAGAAAAGGTCTGGTGATTGAAGGGCTCTGTATGGTCAGAATTTGGGGGTCTATAACTGGACCAAATAGACACCCTCCCTTAGTTAACAGGATTCAAAATAATCTGTACTCGTGTCAGGGACAGACACCCAGGAGAGGGAAAAGAGCACTAAGAAGATATGGGCTTGACACCCAGGGACCTTGTCTCTCTTCCATGCTTATCTCTGGCTCTCCATAATGAGCTAACTCTGTTAAGTCAACCCAGCCTACCACTGGATTCTGGAAGGAATGGCAGAGTCCTGGCTCACAAGGGGGCTGCCTACCTGCACCAAGAGCAGTCCTTCACATCGAACCGTAGAAGATCATTGAGCATTGTCTTTCTGAAAGGCAGCCAGAGAGAAGGTTGCATTGGGTACATATGCTTTGTAGGATATTGTCCCAGGGCATATCCGGGGATATGACCCTGGAGATGGGCACAATATGTGGGTGGGGGTGGGGTCAGCAGGAACAGCAGGCTGACTCACTAACTCCTGGACCTAGCCAATGCTAGGCAATCAGCCAATAACCAAAGGACAGAAGTGGTGACCACAAGAAGCCCCCCCCCAGTTGATGTGGGTACCAGGGCTGCCACACAGCCAGAAGAGAGCACAGACTTTACCTTAGCAGAGATGATAGATTATAACCAATATCTGTATGTCTTAGAGGACAAATGGAGGTGATCAGAGACTAGGGGCCAGGGAAAGTTCTTACAAAGAACATCAAAAGAGAAGGAAAAAGTATAGGAAGGAGGAAATAGTACAAAAGGCTGTGCAGGAGGGTTGAAACTCTAAATGTAGTAAGGCAGTCAGAGTGGCCTGGGGCCACAAAGGGACAGGGCTGAGGAACACTGAGTGTACATGTATGTAAGCCTCACTAACAGTCCTGAGCTTTTAATCAGAGGTTGGGAGATATCCAGGGATATGTGCCAAGAAAAAACACACTCTGATTTGCATTCACAAATGTGTCACTGTGCCTGCTCTTAGGTAAAGATTGTGAACATGGGCTATGTAAGGGAATCAGGCCCTTCTGCCCAGTCCGCAAGTCTTGATACAGTACTGAATATCCATCCCATCCCAAGTCAACAACCTCTTCACCACCAGGACCAAGGCTGCAGTGATTTTCCTAGGCTTTGGGCCAGGTACTGGGGCTGAAAGGTGGGACTAGGACTTCCGGGTAGGACCAATCCTTAACACAAAGAAACCAGCCACAAGTTAACTGGTGGCAGTTCATGTGAATGGAGAGTGCCCACCAACAGAATATCAGGTCATTTGATCTGCCAGGAGTTTATAGCAATGCAGGAAAAACCTTCATGGATAAGTCAAACATGCAGTAAATAAAACTGTGTTTTCTCTATCATTTGGCTGTAAGGTGCACATGTGGACAAAGTTCAGAGGGAAGGGGTGGAGGGCAGGATCTTATTTTAACTTTTACTATGATCTGAAAGGTAAGTGCAGAGAACCTCACAGATGTAAAAGCTGGGGTTTTCAGTGCTTAGCTGATGTCTAGGAGGTCAGCAGTGACGCTCCGCAGGCCGTCTCAGACCACAAGCCTTCTCTCTATAGGGTCTAAAAATCCAGATGCTCAGACTCACCCATTGTCTCCACCAAAAACGTAGATGGCATCTTTATATGCCACCACCGTGTGCTTGCTGCGCCTAGAATGAAAGAAAGTGTGGAGAGTACTGAGGCCAGTACCCAAGTGGGCAGCATCCAAAGAATAGGACTGCACATGGGTCTGCCACAGAAGATGGATGACACCTCTCCAATAGCAAGATGTGCAGAACAAAACCCTAAATTACTCTCAAGGAACCTACACGTAGGGGTGTCTGACACCACCCTGGATGTCCCACCCCACCGCACAACTTGTTGAACCCAAACGGGAGACACAACAGTTCTAGTATCCTGCCCAGGGTCACCACCTGTAGGACTTCCTCCTCAGCTCCAGCCATCACTCACTAGCCCAATATCAGATCTCACTCCAAACTAACACCTCTGGACCTCGTCCCTAGACCCCGCCCTAAGACCGCCCCAAAAGACATCCCCGCTCCCCGTGCCCGCAGAATTTCCTCCACCTCGCCATACCGGGCACCCACGAACTCGTCGCAGGGTGGGAGGCGCCGCCAGCGATGCACTGTTTCGAAGGGCCCGAAGTTGAGCGTCAGGTACTCAACACTGTCTGAGCAGCTGTGGTCAAAATCCACACTCGGAGCTACTTTGGAGCGTGCCCCACTTGCCAGGGCCCCGGCCCCTATCGGGCCCCCGGAGCCACCCGGCCCAGCCATGTCGGGTCCACTCCGGGCTGGCCACCGGGTCCGCAGGATTTGCGGCCACCGCCCCGGCAGCCCAGAAGAACCACATTTCCCAGCAAGCTCTGCTCTAATGGCGTGGCACTTCCGGCTGGTGTCCCACTTCAGGCATCCCACACTTCCGGATAAGCTTACTAATTAAGGTACTGCGGCCCAGCGCGGAACCTGGCTGCGAGCTTATAACATTCCGGGAAGGCTTTCTGGTCAAAGCAAACGCGGCGTCCCAACACTGGGACTTCCCAGAGCCTGCCAGCCTCAGGCCACCTGCGGATGCTCAGCGGCTTCGGACCCAAGGTTCCCGGCATGCCTGTCTTGCACGTAACTACCGCTTGCATCTTCCGTCGCTCCCAGGATCCCGGCTGGAGGGTTCCGCGCTCGACTGCAGTGCGACTCTCCTCCTTCTGCTTGACCCACTTATCCCTGGTCCCATGTGGCTCCCCTCGCCCCCTGGCTGGGAAGCAGCAGGTCGCCGAGCCTCTGGAATTTCCCCACACAAGCACACACATTTAATAGCAGACTTCGCTTCTTCACCTGTGACATGGGTTCAGAAAGCTCCGCCTATAAAAGTAGCATGGTGACAGGACCTAGATCCTACAATTCCCCAAAAGTCAGGCGTAAACTGCCTCCCACCTATGAAGAAGAATTTCTTATCTCAAGCCCTTTTCATGTGCTGTCCCTTCTACTTGGAGGGCCATTTCTTCAAAATCCTGATGCAAAATCACTTACTAGTTTTCCTTGACATTGCAGACAGGAGGGAATCTGTTGCTGCCTCCTGGGTATTCAGATGCCTAACTTCCTTGCTTTCCCTATAATTTTCTTTTTCCCTCTTGAGTATTGGCCCAATTACACTGGGAGTCACGCCGATCTTCAAATCTGTGCATTTTAATTTTAAGATAATCTCTAGCAAGTCATAGGGACCTCCTGGGGACCAGAAGAGAGAGAAGAGGCAGAGACTGTTCTTTTTGCAGTACCAGCTGTCAATGGCAGCTGAGGCCTTGGTGGATGAGCATCTTCTCAAGGCATCAGCAACCTCTTGGGGTGGGGGTGGGGGAGCCAGGCAGTTAAAGACAAGCATTGGGAGGGCTCAGATTCTACCCTGGGGGATCCTGGGAAGTTGGAGATTGGCACCTGTCCCCCAGGCTTGGCTTCTGACCCTGGTGCTCCAGCATGCCTTCCCCAGTCCACTGTACAGGAGCTTAGGATCCTTTCCCAGTGAGCCAAGACATGTCACCAGTCCTGCAGGAATGAGAGAAAGAGAGTCAAAACAGAAGAGGGTACATTCCCATTCTGGGCATCATGATAGCCCAGAGGCTATCTTCATGATAGCAAGAGGCCTGCTCTGTGCCAGATCCTGGTGCCCATCAGGGAAATATACTTGGGTAGAGGAAGGGTAGATCACTGGGTGGAGGTTCTGGGCTGAGGTGGGAAAGGCTTAGAATGGTCAATGGGAAGGACAGAGGACACACGTACTTGCTGTGCAGCATAAACAACCTTTGCGAAGGCAAGAAAGAGAAACAGAAGGCCAGGAAAAGACCACGTTATTCATCATCATGTCTACTGTTGGTCCTCCATTGTTTCCAGCTTAAGACCTATCTATTCCATGGCCTCTAGCCCCATAGTATTCTTTTTCCCCAGTCCCTGAGAACTTTTCTCTGCACACATGTTGAGCCACAGTAGAGTGTTACTGGCACCAGGCTGGGTTGAAGGTAATGACCAGTGCCTGATGCCTACCAGACTCCTGACTACCATCCCATATCTCTGCAGGGCATATCCAGAAACATCACTAGCTACATTTCCCCATTTATCTACTGCTAGACTAAGCATAACCACATAGGTTAAGAGTTCAGATCTGGTGGTCACCCAAGCAATTAGCCGTGACCCCTCCCCACATCGTTGGCCTTGTTCTGGCCCTTTCTGCCTCCTGTATGCACACATATCCATCCTGCTCACGATCCATGCCCCACACTGCCTAGCATTCCTGGAAACCTAACTTGAAGGGTACCAAGAGTTAGAGGAAGGGTCCTGAAAGATGAGGGGTAGGGAGGCAGCTGCTGCCAAGTTAGCTGGTGAGCCAATCCTACAGGAGACTTAATCCCCCACCCCAAGGCCTCCCACACTCACTCCACCTCCCGCTTCCGGATGGCACGGCCTGAGGCGAGCACCTCGGCCACCTTGGATACGATGGGATCGTAGTTCATGCTGGCCACGGCAATCACTTCGTCACCTCTGTAGAGAAAGGGTGGCTGGACCTGAGGACTGCCTAGAACAGGCCCTCCTTTCCTTGCTCAAAGCTGATGTTCTACCACTTGAACCATACCTCCACTTCAATGGCCATGTCCATTTTGAATATTGGCACCCTCCTGTCCACCAAGAACTTGGGGAGGGATCTTGCCCAGGGCAACAGGATGTCCTGAGCACCCAGTCCTCCCTTTGTCCCAGCCTAGACTTTAGCCTTCCCTAGGGAAGCATCAGCCCTCAGCAACACTCAGGGTTTGTGTAACTTTCATTCTAAAAGCACCCACCTAAAAGAACTATTGGGAGGATAAAAATGCTTGACCAATGGATAGTAGTAAGAGTTCTCATTGCCCTTTCACCTTTCCTCTATTTACCTCCTGCCCAGTTGCCTCCCTTTGCCACTTGGCCCATCTGTTGGCTAAACTCCCTCCCCAGGAGGAAAACCTTTCTGGAATGTCTCCCTTCCCCACCAGGCTCCAGGTGCTTTGCGCCCCTGCTGTACCCATTGTTCTCACTTGGTGTAAAAAGCCACAAACTTCAGCTCTTCCAGATCCCCCTGGATGATGACGTCGTCAAAGCCTTCTCCGTAGCCTGTGGGCCAGGCAGGTGGGTGGCGTCCACGTAAGCCAGGGAGTCGGTGGGGGGCTTCACTGCTCCCCACCTCTACCCTCTTAACCGGTGGCTGGTACCACCCCTGTTTCCATGCACTTTTTAGGTAGACTCTAGTTTTACACACACACACACACACACACACACACACACACACACACACACGGCATCATTTCCAGTTCCTAGGATGGACTCAACCCCGAACCTTACATCTTGCAGGCCTCACCTCTACTCTCAAGCCCCGCCTCTAGTCGCTCTAAGCCCCGCCTCTTGCGAGCCTCCTAGTTACCTGCATAGCGCAGGCTCTTCCCGAACATGGCAGTCCACAAGTAGGGCACCGTGCTGATCTCCGCCTCCTGCGCCAGCATGTTCTGGGCTGCCACGCGCCCTGTGAGACCCAGAGCGGTGCAAGCTCGGACCTTTGCCCTCGCCACACCCACACTACCTGCCCCTGCGCTCTGGGGGGGCTCTGACAGGTGTGGTCCACGTGCAGGTGCAGCTGATTCATAAAGGGAAACGCCTGACTGGAGAATTTGAATGACATGCCCTAGGTCTTGTTGGGGATGTGGGAGAGCTTCTCTATTTCCACTGTGACCACTGACAGCTAATTAGACACATCAGGTTCAAAGAAAGAGGACCAATGAAGTACAAAGGTCTGGGAAGCAGAAATGGCAGGCGGTATGGAACAATTTGAAAGAACAGCATGGGTAGCTCCCCAGTTCCTGTAAGACCCTACCAGACTCCATAGTTGAAATATATGAGAACCACTCCCTGTACCTATCTGCCCAGTTAAATTCTAAGTCCTAATTCTGTTTTGCTGAGTAAGCCTTTGGTTCCTTACCAGCAACTTTACACCCTGAACAGAAACTGGTGCCAGGAATGAAGTTTCAGATAGAAAATGGGAAAAGGGAAGGTGGGTACAAGGGGAAAATCCCTGGTTCTGGACCAGAAGTCCAGCAGTCCAGTCTGTGAGGCCTTGAGCTGGCTAATTTACAGGAATCTTCAGCTTAAGGGCCTAGACAGATGCATGTAGTAGGTAAGGCTCAGGGAACTTGGTGGCCACTAAATATGGTGAGGGGAAATGTACTCAATGAGCTGTACTGGATGGCTATTCAAAGTTACATGAGGCAACTGAGTTCACAGAGAAAGTCCAGTGGCCCAAAGGAGACAGAACTTGAGTGGGAAGCTGGCCTGCTAATTCCCACTCCCCCTCTTCCAGGGTGACTGCCAAGGTTGGTGTGCCGATGTATCTTTGAGAAAAAGGAAAAGACCAGTGGAAAGAGACCTGGTGGTTGTGCCTGGGTAAACACAGTATTCAGAGGGCACTAGAGGCAGGCATCTGGAGATGGACCACAGGGCTTGCTCTGTGCACTGTCTTGATCACCTAAAAGAGGCTGTCCAGACAGGCTGCCACCGAGCACAGGACTGATGATCCCAGACCAGAAACTGAGGCATGAGTCTGGAGGAGGCTGAGATCCTGGGATAGCCTCCCACCCCTCTCCATGCCTCAGGGCTGGCCATACCCTGCACATGAGCCATCTGCCAGTGTGGGATGTTCACTTTCCGGTTGTTCCTCCAGGCAAGGGGAAAGGTGACAGCATCACCAGCAGCAAACACGCCAGGAACATTGGTCTGCATCATCTGTGGGGAGAGAGACCAAGGTTCTCTGGGTGGGACAGGGGCCAACACGGACCTCCAACCACCTCTAGCCCAACCAGTCCCCTGCCCACTCCACAGCCCCACCTTGTTGACAGGAATGAAGCCTCGGGAATCCAGACTAATGCCACTCTGCCTCAGGAAGCCTGTAGCGGGCACCGCACCTAACAGGACAGAGGCTACTGTGTCTACAACCTGGTCTCACCCTGAGATATGAATAGTCCACATCCTTCATCTGCTGTACTTGCCCCCAGACTGATCATCATAGCTACCCACCTGGGGCCTTCATGCATCTATCCCCTCTGCCCATACCCCTTGACTTCCATCCAACTTCAGGATCACCTCCTCCAAGAAGCCCCCAGGGGACAGTCAGCTGGTCCTACCTTTCCTACTTTGTGCTGCTATCTTCCAATTTTGCACCACCCCTTTCCCCCCACCCAACTGTCACTTCAGCTTTAGTAGGAATCAGTTCAAAGCTTGTCTATGTCCTACAGCTCAGACAGGGCATGGCATGGAATTGAATAGCAGGCTGTAGCAGTCATTTGGTGTATACTCCTTTCCAGGCCTGGCC